GAAGGACAGTTATTTTCTTGAAGCAAATGGCTTTGCAATATTAAATTTTATTTTTGCTATTTAATGATAATTTTTATTAGTTATGGCATTTCAAAATAAGGCAGTTGTTTTTTCCAAGATATAAAATACCTGCCAATGTGCAATGTGCTCAACTCATATGTGGAATAGAAAAAAAATTTAGAGACAGCTTTGAATCACAAGGTAAATAAAATTAATTTGAAGAATATTAAAATATATCTTGTTTCATCTACTTCCACTAAAAAATATCTATTTGCAAACATCATTTATTAGAACTTAGTCATTTTAACTTTTTTTGGTTGGACTTTATTGGTTCTTGACTTTCTTGTTCCATGATTATATACAATCTAAGTGAGTGAAAATCATTAAGAACTATTTTATTCACAAAAATGCATATACAAATAAATCCATGGCAAATAGTTTCAGGATGATCTCATTACATCATGAGCTTATTTAGTGGGGTTTTTTTAAGGAAATAAAATTTAGTAAAGTTATACTTTTTGATGGAAAGCCTTAAAAACTAATTAGTGGTGATCTGTGAAAAGAAAAAAAAATTACAAGGTACCTATTAAATTTATGACAGCCATATGCATCTGAGATTATCAAATCCTGATATAATCAAATCACACTTTATAGTTGTTCTGTTTTCAGCATCTTATGTCAATTACAAGGCCCCTATTATGGAAGACAGTGCTCAACTGTTGAGCTCATACATGTGTTTGTGTATATATAACATATTTAGGTGATAAACAGAATCAGTGTAATACATGGTTAAACAGGTTACAACTCTTGCCCAATTTGGCTGACTTGCATTGAATGTCTTGAAACAGTCAAACAGTGTTTCTTGCTTTTTCCAAATTAGATCATGTCTATGAGGAAAAACTAGAAATTTTGCACTACTCACTGGGCCAACTAAACTCCTTAAAAATAAAAAATCTGATTCAGAAAGAAGTATTATAAGATCATTTTAAGTCCAAGTGTTAATTCTTTGGCATTGTCAAGTATAATTTTTCTAGATTTCCTACCTGCCTGGCCATTTCTCCTTTCTGTACTCTCATTTGGTGATTTCGCTAGCCTCCATCAGTACTGTTAAGATCTTTATGTAGATGACCCCTAGATCTGTGTGCCCATCCCTCTCTCCTGAATGCCATTTGCACATTTTCTAATTGTCTTTTGGACATTTTGAACTAGATTGCCATAGGCATCTCAAACTCAGCACATCCAAAATGTTATCTTTCCAATAAAACCCACCGCTCTCATGAACTTCCTCAGGAAGTCACCACCATTTTTTCAGTTACTCAGGTTTAAAACCACGTAGACATCTTCAATTATTCACTGTTCCTCACCCCACTCTCTCTCTCCTGCAAATTCCTATCCAATAAATTGGCAAATCTTGTTAATCCCACTTCACCTCTTCTGTCCATTCGTACAACTGCCTCTCTAGGTCATGTCTTCATCACCTCTCACCTAGGCTATTACAATAAGCTTTTAATTTGCAGCTATGTAAAGATGGATTGTGATAGAGAGAAAATGGACACAAGGAGACCAAAATGATTTTCCCCAAGTAGAATCTTTGCATGTTACCGCCTTCCTCAGTAACTTCCATTGGCTCCCTATAACCTCTAAGAGTAAATATAAAAATCCTTTGTTTGGCATTTAAAGCTCTTCACAATCTAGCCCCTTCCTTTATCTCCAGTCTGCTCACGTATTACTCCCCTTCACACAGTCTATGGCCCAGCTTGTTGTTAAGTCATTTCAGTCATGTCTGACTCTTTGTGGCCCCATTTGGGGTTTTCTTGGCAAAGATACTGGGGTGGTTTGCTAGTTCCTTCACCAGTTCATTTTACAGATGAGGAAATTGAGACAAACAGGGTTAAGTGACTTGTCTAGGATCATACAACCAGGGTCTGAGAGCAGATTAGAACTCAGGGAGATGAGTCTTCCTGATTCCCAGCCTCCGTGCTCTATCTACTGTACCACCTAGCTGTCCATGATCCAATTATATTGACTTGTTTCCTGTTTTTCACATACAGTGCTCCATCTCCCATCCAAACCTTGGCACCAGCTGTCCTCCATCCCTAAAATGTCCTACCTCTTTACTTCTACATTTTAGAATCCCTGGTTTCCTTCAAAACTCAGGTCAAGCACCATCTTCCTAGTCCCATCCTCCCTCTCCCATATGCTAATGCCTTCCCTGCCAAGGTTAACATATTTCTCATTTTATTTGTGTATACATACACACATGTCTCATCCACTAAAATGTTAGCTCCTTGATTTCAGAAACAATTTTTGCTTTTCCTTTGCATCCCCAGTGCCTAGCACCATGCCTGAGACAGATTATGTACTTAATAAATACTTCTTTATTTGGATACCTGAGAAGTACTAACAGTCATCAAAACTCCTCACCATCCTCCTCCAAAAGGTGACATCAGCCAGATCATATATAGGACAAATTTAACATCAAATGTATTACCAGATTTTTTTTATGTGGATGATATGTCCTTTGATGAGAGCATCAAATGAGATTTTACTTCTCTCAGTCCCAAGGACATTGTTTTGTGTTCCCATAGTCATCTTTCTCAAAGCTTCCCAAACATTGTTGGTATGTGGATACATACATATGTACGTATATTGCCTGGGAGACAAGAAAGACAAGTAGTGAGGAAGATCAGCACCTAATGATTTGGAACTGGAAAAGCATCATTAAGTTATCTCAACACATTTTCCTTAGACACATACTATCAAGCAACATGGAGAGAATGAGGACTGTACGATGTGTCTTTACTGGATAGTATGCTCTGGTGTTTCATCTCACTTAAAGTGATCCAGGGACAATGTTAAAGGAATGTAGATGAACAATTCAAGTCATTTATAAGTGTTCATGCCTACAATGTGCCAGGCATAGTCCTAAATGCTGAACAGAGAGAAAGGAATCAAAGGACTGTCCCTACCATCAAGGAGATCTTATTTTAATGAGGGAGACAACATGTAAATAACTGTATATGAAAGATACATACAAGGTAAACTGGAGATTATATGAGAGGAAAGGCAGCAGCATTAAGGGAGACTGGGAAAGACTTCTTGCAGAAGGTATGTTCATTTAGCTGGAACTTAAATGAAGTAAAGGAAGTCAGGAGGCGGAGATGAGAAAGGAGAACACTCAAGACGTGGGAGACATTGAGTAAAATTTCACAGAGTCAGGAGGTGACTTGTTTGAGAAATAGCAAGGAGGCCAGTGTCACTGGATAATGAGTATGTGGGGTAAAGTGTAAGAAGACTGGAAAGGTAGAAAGGAGCCAGGTTATCAGGGGCTTTAATACAGCTTCTCTTTCTTTTCCTCTATTGCATCTATTTGCTGTACCTTTAATCATTGTTACAGAATGTGATGATTTCTTGACAATCCAAACCTCTACTGAAAAGACAAAGAGGGTACTTCATTCACCTTCTGAGATTTGGCCAAATTCCCATCTTCTACCACACCCGGTTGTCTTAAATGGGAATTCCTTAGGCAGGAAAGCTTGGGGGAGTGGAGACAAGGAGATAAACAAAGGGCCCTTTTGTCAAAGGGAGAGTGAATGCTTATACTGATCTTCTTGCCAGACATTTAATGTTATGATTTATGCTCTTGCCTCCCCATGCTGTGAGTCCAGTTCTCATTCAGAAACTACCTCCATTCACATCCCAACATGCCCCATAAGGGTGTTGCCAACTGATTAAAAGAGAAAGGAGTGTCACACAACAGCCCAGACAGCTCATAGGGAAGGAATTACAGGTTCTTTGAGGTTGGGTGTTGGGGCTTTTTTGGGGGGTTGTTTTTTGGCTTGGGGTGTGTGTGTGTGTGTGTGTGTGTGTTTTGGCAGGGTAATATTCTAAGGCAGGTCATACCACAGCTTCCACCCTATGATTAGTGGGTGGGTAGGGGCTGAGCACTAGCAATGATGCAAAATAGGAAATAAATTAGGATAATAAGAGACAAAAGGGAAAGGAGTAAATTTTCCACAAGTAATATTTTTCTCTTTATGGTTATTTGACTTTGAAACAGCACATGAAAGTAGTAATCATGTTACTCTAGGAGACAAAGCACAGAATGTGGGAACAAGACAGAAGAAGCATGTGATTCCCCTCAATGTATTAATTAGAAATACACAGAAAGAAACAGAGCTTTCAGGAATCAACTACTATCTTCATTGTTATGGAAAAGCAGAGCAAAACATAAAAGAAGTAGCACAGGAAGAGAAGGGAGCAAGCATTTATTAAGTGCCTACTATGTGTCAGGTACTTTACAAATATTATTTCATTTGATCCTCACAACAACCATAGGAGGTAGGTGCTATTATCCCCAATTTACAGTTGAGAAAACTGAGGCAGACATAGTGACTTGTCTAGAATAACACAGCTAGAAAATGTCTGAGGCTGAATTTGAACTTAGGACTTCCTGCCATCAGGCCCTGCATTCTATCGACTACAATGGATACGAGCAGGGAAAATACTGATTAGTCCTCTTCACGTGTCTCAAAGTAGTACAATAGTAAATTTTCTTCTTCTGACTAATTTGTGATCTAGGGGCAATGTTGTATGGCAGACTGTTTATGGTGTCATGGGGCTTGGGTTTGAGTCCCATCTTTTATGCTTGCTATTTGTTTTGACCTTGGAGAAATTGCTTGTAACTTCCTTGAGCCTCAGTTTCCTCATCTGTAGAATGAAGAGGCTATACTAGATGGCTTCTATAATCCCTCATACGCTCAATTTATGACCTTTTTGAGCCTTTGAGTTGTTATCTCATGCTCCAGTAATAATATTGTTTTATTCTATAATGTACTTTTCACTGATGGACAATTTCAAAATTAATGTTAATCTTGTCTCTGCTACAACATTAGCAATGTTCTTCCCCACTCTATCCCCCTTAAAAAACCTCTTAGTTTTTCATGTTCTATCCCTGCACCAGTATAGTATTTGGTTTCACAGTATTCTTTCCTCCTTAGCTCCTGCAGAACCTCTGTTGTGCAAGTTTGCAGATGGTGGACAGAAGAAGCGACAGAATCAGAACAAGTACATCCAGAATGGGAGAGCATGGCACAGAGAAGGCGAGGTGAGGCTTATGAGTCCTTCCCCTGAAATTTCAGAGTGGCTGTATAGCAATGACTTCTTTTTTTTCTTTTTTTTTTAGTAATTTATTTTGATTTATCAACAATCACTTCCATATGCTTTTGAGTTGAAAATTTTTCTCCCCTTCCTCCCCCCCTCCCCAAGATGGCACACAATCTGATATTGACTTTACATTTACATACCCATTAAACATATTTTCACATTAGTGAAGTTGTAAGTAAAAATTAAAACCAATAGGAGGCACCATCAGAAAGATGAAAAAAAACTCAACAGAAGGTAAAAATAAGTGATAGCGATTCGACTTTCATAATTCTTTCTTTGAATGTGGACAGCCTTTTCCATCCCGAGGCCTCTGGAGATGTCTTAGATCCTTGTAATGCTGAGAAGGGTTCAGTTTAAGAATATTAGTCATTGCATAACGTGGTTGTTATTGTGTACGAAGTCCTCTTGGTTCTGCTCACTTCACTCAGCATCAGACCATGTTAAGTCCTTCCAGGTTTTTCTGAAGTCAGCCTGTTCATCATTTCTTATAGCACAATAGTATTCCATTGCATTCATATACCACAACTTGCTCAGCCATTCCCCAATTGATGGGCATCCTCTCAATTTCCAATTCTTTGCCACCACAGAAAGAGCTGCTATGAATATTTTTGTACATGTGGGTCCTTTTCCCATTTGTTTGATGTCTTTGGGATATAGCCCTAGAAGTGCTATTGCCAGATCAAAGGGTATATAGCAATGACTTCTTCAGGAAATAGTCATAGAAAAGACTTTTTTGGCCTTGCCACACATCACTTTTTGAACGGCTGCCATTGGTACAGATACGGTTTGTATCTTAGAATATGTCGTATCTTAAAACTGTCCAGATATACAGGAATCCACAAATCAGGTAAAATGAGAAGAATTTAACACTGGCTGAAGTCTTTAGGTTCCATGGAGCACACAGTTATAGGCCAGCGCTTGGATCCTCTGGGTCAATAGCATGTTTTTTAAGAGATGACAACATTAAACGCTGCTCAGAAATTGGGCTGTACAATCCCATGATACGTTTATGATTGAAAGGTTTTTCCTTTCTCCCCTGCAGATTATTTTAGAAAATTATTTTCCTATATGATAAAATCTTTAATATATCTTTAAGGTTACTAACTTTATGTGTTGTGTACATACTAAAATGAAACAAGATCTAGCAGATCTTGAACTAGGGCATTGAACTAGGAAAACTTGCATTCAAATCCCTTCTCAGATCCTTCCTAGCTTATGAAACCCTGAGCAAGTAATTTAATCACTCTGTGCCTCACTTTCTTTATCTAGGAAAGTGAACTGGATAACCTCTAAGAAATTGCAAAGGGAGGACACAAAAGTGATAGCATCATAGATTTGGAGATAGAAGGGATCTTAAAAAAGACTGATATGAGAAAGAGGGGGAAATGGTCATTCAGAAACACTGGCTTAATTCTGTTATAATTACTTTTTTTTCTCAGTATTTATTTGTTCTAAGAGGCAGCATTGCATCCTGGATAGAGAATGAAACTCAAAGTGAGAAAAATCTGGATCGTAGAATCATAGATCTAGAAATAGAAGAATTAAAGTCCTACTTCTGACTTCTAATGTTTGGCTGACCCTTGGCAAGTCAGAGAGTTGCATGGGGGTGCTATCAGTTAAAGAGCATCTGTAGATCTACACAGATAGAAGGTGTTTCCTCATCAGGGAATTCTCCATGCCAATTAAATCACAAGTCCAGCTCAAAAAATAAAAAAAGGATCTCTTCTTGGCTAGCCACTGTGCTGGCAGGGATATAAAGACAAAACCAAAAATCATCCCTGTCCTCGAAGAGCTTACATGCTAATGGAAGAAATTGTTGATGTTTATTCATCTTAAACATAAATAATTAAAAGCAATTTCTTATGCCCTAATCATATAAAACAATACATGTTTTTTGCATTTCAGGCTTGTAAGAAATAGAATATGGTACATTATTCCATTCTCAATTACATGTTTATTCTCACTATAGGCTGGAATGACACTTACCTATGATCCAACTACAGCTGCTTTACAGAATGGGTATGTATTTAAGATTATGTATGTGATACTTTAAGGCAGAAGTTCTTACATTTTTGGCTAATGGGCCCCTCTAATAGTCTGGTAAAGCCCATGAATGCCTTCTCTGAATGTCTTTAAGTGTGTGTGTGTGTGTGTGTGTGTGTGTGTGTGTGTGTACATATTTATATTGAAATGCAGTTGTCAATTTTTTAAAAACAAATTCAAGACCTCAGGCTTAGAACTCCTGTTTTAACAGGAAATAGGAGGGGTGAAGGACTACAGAGTTTTGCCTAGTAAATGATAAAAATGTGGAGCATTATTTAACAAGGGCTTTTCATTTGTTCCAGATTTTATCCTTCACCTTACAGTATTGCTACAAATCGAATGATCACTCAAACATCTATTACACCTTATATCGCTTCTCCTGTTTCTACATACCAGGTTTGTGCTTTCTGGCTTCATAAGCATCATCCCATTGACTTATGGAATCAAATTTGTTGCTACGTTGGTTTTTATAAATCTCTAAAATTGGGGTCAGGTATAATGTAAATTATTTTTACACAGCACAAGTGTCTGTTGAAATGTATGTATGTCATAGTGGATAAAAAGATGTGACCTTGGAGTCAGGAATACCTTGCCTCTGACACATCCTGGCTCTGTGACCCGTGCATTTTAACCTCTCGGTACCCGCACGAAACTCTTTAAGGTGGTCAGTAGTTGTTGTTCTTCATTGTTGTACAGAGATTTTCCTCAACCAGGGAGCTCCCTATGCTGATGAAGTCACAGTTCTAAGCCAAAAAGAAGGTATTTAATTAAGAATAAATTGCCACTATTTTGCAGCAGAATGATTACCTGTGAATAAATTGTCATTAGGAGGCATAGGGAATGTGTGCTGGATGTCCTGTCAATGATTGAAATTTCAGGTCTAGTAAGATCCTTAACTATTTGCAGTATTGGATAGCCCTTACTTTCACAAATATGCCATATTCTTCTTAAAGTGAATCAATTCAAGAAAAACTTTCTTTCCTTGTTACAAGCACTGTTGCTTTCTCCCCTTGTTTAATGAGCTAGCGAAAGGGATAAGGGTTAGAATATACATGTCTTTGTTAGTCAGTGTTTAATGAACAGAGTTGTGAAATGTAAAAGTGACCCAAAAAAGGCTGTATCTTAAAAAAATCCTATTTAGAAATGGACTAAAATATCAAAATATGCCTATTAATTCATTTATACTAAAGGTCAAATAACATCCCCTATGGACACAGTGATTTTCAATCAGTTTCTCCCACTTTTATACAGAGCATCTGTTTTCCTTAGCCTTTTGTTTTTTGTTCTAATTGGGGTTCTACTGTTAAGTATCTTGGAAGTACAATATATGATTGACATCCATCTATCCTATGTGGGAAACTGAAAGGTGGCTTGTTCAGAATGGAATATCCTAGTAGTGGGTTTGAGGAGGGTTTTTGACCAGGCTAACGGGCCATCAGGAAAGTGTAGCAGCAGATCATTAGTATCAGGAAGGTTTAAACAATAAAAATTGCCCTGGAAAGCAGGTGGTGAACATCTGTGGAGTAGGACATCTGGTACCCTGCCTCTGGGGCTCCTCCCTCCCTCTGATTGGAGAGTTCCTCCCAGATCCTTCCTTTAAGGAGGAAGCCCAAGGCAGCTATCTCATAATTTCCCACCTGGCTCCACTCCTGGACTTCATCATCATCATCATCATCTCCATAAACTCATCTTCCAGCAAGACCACATCAACTTTGGAAGTCATACTTCCTCAGTGCCCCCCTGCCCTTAGGGCCCCCACCTTCCCAATGATTGAAGAAGGTGAAGGCAGAACATCAGAGAACCCCTCCCAAATCCTTTATTAGAGGGGGCCCAGGGCAGTTAACTCATCATTTCCTATCTTTCTGCAGTTCTTCATCATTTATGGAAGGGTGGGGAACCCTTCCACCTACCTCTTTGAGCTTCTTTTTCTGTGTCGTCTTCTCCTTTTAGAGTGTGAACTCTTCAAGGGAAGGGGCTGCTTTTTCTCCTTCTTTGTATTACTAGTGCTTTTCACGGTGCCTGGCACATAACAGGTGCTTAGTAAATATTTATTCACTACCTATAGCAAGGATCTACTCCCCAGAGAGTTGGCTTGTTGGGTCACGGCACTGTGCCTTGAGGTTACTGGTGAGAGAAAGGTAGGGCTCTTGTCCCAGAGGAACAGGGATATGGAATAGAATACTAAGAGGTACAGTATATCACAAGACAAAAACATAAGATGAGGGCAAAAAGTAGAGGCTTAATGCGCAGGGCAAAAGACAGGTGCTTCAATGATGATATGAAGTCAAAGGAGGACCAGCAGCAAAGGTGATTTGCTTCTGACCTGTAGGTCCAGAAGACCTTATGTTTCCCCTTTCTAAGGGCTAGCTTGGTTCCAAGTTGAAGATTGTATTAGCTCTGCATGTGTGGATCAAATAATGCCAGCTGAAAGGGGGGGTGGGGTGGGGCAGAATACTAGACCAGTCATTATATTCCCTAATGTCTTAACTTTCTGTTGTACTCTATGGAACTCCTTTTCTATTATAAATAAATTTTTTATACATCCTTAGTCCTTTCTTCATGTTTTCTTTATGTCTCTAAGAAGTTTTATTTTGGGGGGCAGGTAGGTGACGCAGTGGATAGAGCACCAGCCCTGGAGTCAGGGGGACTTGAGTTTAAATCCAGCCTCAGACACATAACATTCACTAGCTGTGTGACACTGGGCAAGTCACTTAACCCCAATTGCCTTGCCAAAAAAAATAAAAATAAAAAAAATGTTTCATTTTTTCAAGAGATAGAACATTGCTGGCAAGCCCATCCAATGGCAGCTTTTATCTACTCTCCCTATCAGGATATAGGGATTGGCTTATTCCTAGCTCCCTATATTCTCACTGCCACTTCCTGACATCGTTCAGTTTCTCTCTTGAAACTCTTGCCATCACATTCTGCCCTCTCTCTGACACAGTCATCTATCTATTAAGAAATGCTCCAACTTTACTTAGTTTAGTATTTTTTAGTGCTTGATTGATAGTCTTTCTTCCTCCCTACTGCAAGATCCACCATCATCCTTGGTGATTTTGATAGAAGTGCTAATGACCTGATGTCAGTGTCCTGATCTCACAATTCTTTGATGTCCTCAATTCCAATTACCTTCTTTACTCATCTACTGGTATGGCCACACATTAGACCACATCTCTCAATTCAGCTCCATCCCCAAAATGTTAAGCTGTGAAATTCATTTTTCTGACCACAATCCCTTGCCCTTCTGCTTTTTCCATCTTTTTACTGAACCTGCTCTTTATCCTCATTGTAATCTTAAATCCCTCTACCCTTCCATTTACATCTAGTTTGTCATTCTCTTATGGCTTCTCCTACCTCTCTGTAGAGCTCTTATTAAAGTCACAAAGTCATGTGATTTCATCTATTATAAATGTATGCTGCTTAACCCCTCCTGGGCTTCACTGAACTCAATAATCCTTTTATTCATGTCTCATCACATCTCTTTTGCCCACAATGTCTTTTTCAAAGCTCTGCTTTCTCTTTAAAGCTCTGACCCTAATTTCCAAATAGATATGCTTAAAAGATCACCTATTTTACTAAAAAGTTCAAAGCCATCTAACTTGAGATCCCTCAAATCCCCTTTTCCTGACTTCAAAAGTTCTGCATCTTGGCAAAGAATTGGAAACTGAAGGGATTCCCATCATTTAGGAAATAGCTGAACAAGTTATGATATATGAATGTAATGAAATATTATACACTGTAAGAAATGATGAAGGAAACAGTTGTAGAGAAGCCTGGGAAGATTTGTATAAATTGGTGCAAAGGGGAAGGGAGCAGAACCAGATGAGCAGTTTATACATTAACAATATTGTTAAGACAAACAAATTTGAAAGACTTAGAATCTCTGATCAACAACATAAGCAGCAACAGTTTCAAAGGACTCATGATGAAATATGTTACCACCTCCAAATGGATTGAAGCATATATACGTGTGTAATGTATATATGCTGCAATTATTTTGCATTACTATGCATATTTGTGATATGTTTTGTTTTTCTTGCTTTCTTAATGGATGGGGGAGGTGAAAGTGAGAGAATTTGGAAGTGAACATAAAATCAAATTAAATTTTTTTTAAAATTCTGCATTTTTATCCATTTCTTTTTACCTCCTGGCTGAGAGGAAGACATGCTCTTCTTTGTCAAAACCAACCCCTTCACCTATTTTTTTATTTATTTATTCCATCACTTCCCACCTTCACCAGGACCTTGTTAAAATAATTATCCTTTTTCTTTTTTGAATCTTCAATCTCTTCCTCCCCCCTCTATCCTTCCCACTGCCTACAAATATGCCAAGTTTCCCATACTAAAAACAAAAACTACCACAATCACCCACTGACATTGTTATCCACCTGTCTCTACTAACCACCATCCTATCTCTCCTCTTTCACTGACAGCCTTCCTGGATGAGAAGTCTATACTCTGTATCTTTGTTCTCTCACCGCTCAGCTACTCCCTAACCCTTTACAATCTGGCTTCTGTTCATCACTCTCCTGGAACTGATTTCCTTCAGTCACCACTGACTGCAGTCTCATAGTCCATTGCTCTTTTCTTAGACTTTATCCTCCTTAATTTCTCAGCAGTATTTCACGTTATCAAATATCCCAGGCAATTAGGTGACATAGTCATTATAGTGCTAGACTTGGAGTCAGAAAGACTGCAGTTTGAATTCTCAGTAATTGTATGACCCTAGGTAAGTCGTTAAACTTGTCTCAGCCTCAGCTCCCCATCTTCAATGGAGAGAGTATGGACAGGGTAATCGTGAGATCAAATGAGATAAGAAAAGTAAAGTGCTTTGTATACATTAAAGCACTATATAAATGGTAGCTTTTATCTCCTCCTTTTTTCCTTGTCATCTTCTCTTGGCTTCTGTGATACTGCACTCTGCTGACTCTCCTTTTATCTCTCTAATCTCCACTTCTCTAAGTTAGTTCTTCTTGGTTCCTTTGTCATCTGAGTGTTGTGGATCCCCAGAATTCTAAGAGCTGTGTCTCCTCTCACTACACCCTATTCCTTAACAATTGCATCTATTATCTTGATTTTAATTTTCATCCTCCATGTAGTTGACTTGCAAATCCAATGTCCTTTGTCTCTGTCTGCATCTGTGTCGATCTGTCTGTCTGTCTGTCTGTCTCTCTGTCTGTGTCTCTCTCTTTCTTCCTTCCCCCCACTTTAGTTAGGCACTTTGCCGGGTATTTCCAATGACCTATTATTACATATCATAATTTTTATGTCTGGTTAGTACCTGAAATTAAACATGTGTAAAGCCAAATTCATATTTCCTCCAAAACTTTTTCTTATTCCTGACTCCCTTAGTTATTTTTAATAGTACCCTTATTCTTTCAGTTACTCGTGCTCTTAACCTCTGACTCAACTTTGCCTTCTCCATAACTCTTAGTTCCATGTCTAGTCACTTGTAAGTCCCATCAGTTCATGTGTAATAATTCTCAGATATGTCCCTACCTCATTTCCATCACCATCCTAGTTCAATCCATCCTATAACTGATGTCAGAGTAATCTCCTAAATATATAGATCTGCTCACATCACTTCTCTTCTAAAAAATCTTCAGTAGTTTCCCAGTTCCAAACAAATAAAGTCCAGGCTCCTTAGTTTTGCATTCAAGTCATGTTGTTTCCAATCTAGCTTTGGAGCTTTATCTCACACCACTTCCCTTTGTGTACTGTGTACACTTAGGCAACCTAGAATACTCACCATACTCAAAACATGTCCCATGCTTTTTTACATCTATGTTTTTGTTTATGCAGTTCACTGTACCTGGAATGCTCTCCTTTTCTCCTGTTAGACTTCCTTTAACACTTAGCTCACACATTGCCTCTTCTAGGAAGCCATTCTTGATCCCGCTATCAATCTCATTATTCCTCTGGACTTCTCATAGCATTCTGTTTGTCCTCACACAGGTTATGGTCTAGTAATAGAAATAAAACCATTATGCAAAAATCATAATACAAAACAGAATGTGATAAATGCATAAGATAAAGAGACTGGGTCTTATTAATCTCACCCATGCCTAGCACATGGCTTTTTGTACATAAAAGTTTGATTTTTTTTTTTGTTATAGAAGGATGGGAGGGAGAAATTAATGAATTAATTCAAATACTTATACTAGTATTTCAGTTTCCTTCACACACAGAAGATATTCAATAAGTGATTATTGAATTGGATTCAACTATGAAGTCTGTATTAACTACTTCCAACTTTTTTTGTAAGACTTAATAAGAATTATAAAGAAATACTGCATTTAGGTGTTTTTCTCATAATTATTTACACAATTTAATCTCTAAAAGAACCTTTTTTCCTTTATCTTTACTAAGAAAGTCTATTATTTTAAAGTATATCATTGCAAATGGAGATAAGAAAACTTCCATAAGTATGTTTATTGCATACATTATAGAACTAATTCTCAAATAAATGAAAATATACAGAAGTGTAAATCATTCCTGTTGATAACATTTAGAACCATTAAAGTATCTCCCCACCACTTTGTTTTTGTTGTAAAAGTTCATTTTGGCCATCAGATAATTTAATAAGACAAAAGAATTAATAAAAAGGTGTCAATAGTAGAACTGACTGATGAGAAACAAAATACTTTCCTATGACTGTTATCCTATGTATTATTTTATTCTGAGTTACTTTATTTTTCCCTAAAGCACATTTTTCATTTGGCATCTAGAGAACTCCATTTGAAAATGAAAATGAAATAAAACTTTCTTATTACTTCATATATTGAACAAAAACTGGCTAATGGTTCCCATTTTATACCTGGAAAAATTAAGGAACAGAGAATTAAAAGACTAATGCTAATTTGTTGTTTGAATTTGAACAGAGATTTGATATTGAACAGCAATTTGATATTGTAGCCCCTGACTTGGCAGCCTGCTAATTCTTTCAATCCATTGAACCATAGTAAAAATGGAAGGATCCGGCCCAAATTAGCTCCTGTAGCTATTAGCCTCTGGATGAACTACAACAGTGAAGGTTCTGCAATTACAAGCAATTTATGTCAGATTAGGCCTTTCCCCATCAAACTACCATGAACAGCAACTGGATTTGAGAAATTGGCATCAAGGAGACACCACCAATACCCTAATGGGGGAAAGGCTCCATTCCAGATAACTTAATGTTAATAAGCCAGAAGCACTTAACTTTAATCAGCCTTAGCTGGGGAACAAAGACAGAGCAAATGAATCTTAGGGCCTCATTACAAAGTTAATCTCAAAACACTTTGCCCACAGCCATTCACAGACCTTCTAATTTTAGGTAATGAGAGTGGAGTGGGCTATAGAAGGGGTTTATTCTTAAGAAAGAAGCTTAGAAGCAACTTGAGCATGTATATAATCAAGGAAGCCTTTGGAATAAAGGGGGGATTGCTTGGTTTTTTCATGATGGATAGAAGCAGTGTGGAACAGTAGATAAGGCATTGGACTTCGAGTCAAGACCTGGATTCAGATGTGACCTCGGATATTAGCTATGTGACCCTGAAAAATCACTGAGTCTCTGTGAATGAGTGCTTGGACTCGATGGCCTAAAAGAACCCATTTAGCTCTAATTCTACAAGCCACTTTTCTTGCTTGCTTTAGAGACTGAATCTAGAAACTTCTGGTACTTGTACAATCCAGAGCCCTGGCCATAAGTCTGCAGAGCTATATTTCAGAGTTTAATTTCTTTCTTAAGCAGAGATTCTTAGTTTCTGGGGTGATTAGAAATCATTGATAATTAGGAGGGATTTCAGAAGCATTCCTCACTTGGTAAGGGAACTTGACATCAGCTGTTTTTATCAAAGCAAACATACTTGCATGACTAGTTTATGTGCAGATGTAATGTATGGGTTGTCAAAATCAAACATGGTGAGAGGGGGCAATGTTTGTGCATTTACAGGGAGCAGTTCTTCAAAAATTAATTGTGTTAAGCAGTCAAAATGAATATAACCAACAGAAGTCTCGTAATATATATCACCAGATGATAAAGGAATGAGTATCGTGCACATAGATACTCAACAGATATTTTTTCTAATGAATAAAAGTGAATGAATGCAGATAAACAGCAAGAACTTGAAGAGATTTGTGATTTTCTTCTCTGGCTTAATTAAAGCTGATGTTCAATAAATGTTATGTATTTTGGGGAAGAAATGTTTTCGAATTACACACATCAGAATCTCAAAATCCTCTTAGATAATGTTGAGTACATATCTTGTCTGGGGTGGGAAGCATTGGGTGAAATCACTTATATTAATATAATTTTAGGGCCTAGTTTTTCCCATCATGTGCCATGCTTTAAATTGTGTGCATTGTCCTGGAAGCTTGAGCCTACTTGCTTAAATGAGTTCAGAGTCAATATTGTTGCTGTGAGCTCAGGAAGGATAAAGTAAACAATACCAGTACAAGAAATAAAATTTTCTTTATAGTGTATTTAGAGCATTGAAATACTTTAATGGTATCTAAAAGTAGACATTTAAAAAAAACAACTTTTTCTTCTGTGTTGTTTCTTCTTTCTTGTGGTTCTTCCTATTGGTTCTAATTCTTCTTTACAACATGACTAATATGAAAATATGTTTAATAAGAATGTATATGTAGAGCCTATATCAGATTGTAGGCTTGTGGAGGGAGGCAGGGAAAGAGAGGGAGAAAGTTTAAAACTCAAAAGCTTATGGAAGTGATTGTTGAAAACTAAAAATTGTTCTTATTTTATTATATTACTAAATATATTATAAATACATTACTAAAATTGTATTATTTCAGTATTTTTTGTTGGAATATGTTCTTATTTTTTAAATAGTACTAGATGAATCAGGTACCAATGAAAATCAGCAAATATGTTTTTTTTCAAAATGACTTTTTTCTTTTGTAGGTGCAGAGTCCATCATGGATGCAGCCTCAACCATACATCTTGCAGCACCCTGTAAGTTTCTCTTTTATTTCTGTAACATATTCTTGAGTAAACTACTGTACGTGGACAGTATTGGAATCTGGAAAATGTGTTTACATAAGATGAAAATTAATAATAATGTTCTATGATAAACACTGTCAAATGTCTTAAATTTATTTTTTAAAAGAGATAAGAGTCAAATTAAATTTCCTATTTATAACAATACAAGAGGTTTCACATTTGAGGAAATCATATTTTATTCTACTCTTTTTTCTCAACTGAATTTATTTGAATAGCAAAATTTATTGTGATACATATAAGTTTATACTTTTATATGTTACATACTTATATATGTTTACTGTTACATCAGATGTAACAGCTGTTATAATGAATGCTTAAAGTAACTTTTAAATATTCAGAATAAACCTAGGAAATGTCAGACACACCACTTACCTTTTCTATAGTAAGTTGCAAACAGTGGCAACTTATTTTTAGTAAATGAAAAGCCATAATTGGGGGGGGGAGTAGTATATGGTGGATATAGTTTTAAAATCCTTTATTAGATATCTGCTGAGTGTAGCACTGAACTAAGGAAAGGGCAGCCAGCAGCTAGAGAGTAAGTGAAATAATTAAGAGCAGAAATGTGACCTAAGAGACATATACAGTTTTACAAAGATAGTGCCCAGAGAAGGATGCCCTGAGAGGTGCAGGGAACCCTTGCCATTTACAGCAAGTTTTTAAAAGGGCCCGCTTTTGAGTTTGGGATTTCCTGGTTCAGCAGCTTTTATCAATCATCCAGCTAAATGAGAAACCAGAACAGGAAATTCCTTCGGCATAGCCTGTGCTTCAGAATTATTTCCATTTAAACTGGTCACATGCCTTTTGTTCCTCTACCTTTTATTTTTCCTTTTTTTTTTTAGGAAAAACCAGTAGGGAAAATTGTCCTTAAAATATTTGTTAAGGTTGACATTACTCTCTAGCCCATAGCTATAGCTAGTATTTTTCAACTCTTCAGCCATTTTAGAGAAAAAGGGAATGTGTATATATCTCATGGGTTTAGGTTGGGTCTTAAGGAGATTAGAGAGAAAGTTTCTGAGGAAACATGCCCATTTTCCCATCTTATTTATTCTGGAGGATGTCCTAAAGGTAACTAAAGTACCAGGAAATCTTCTACTATCAAATATGTGTTTAAATGTATACAGCTAACACAATATGATGGCCCTTTAGCAAATCCAAAACACTGAAAAGGGGGGGAGGGGTTGATCTGTCACTTTCTGATTGAGTACTAGACCAAGTCTTGTACAGCCTGTGATCATGATTTGTTTCTATACTGTCTCATCTGTACACATAAGCAAGCTTTGTTTTTTACTGAGTGCAAAATGTAGAGGAGAGGTTGTTCATCCAGTTTCCTTTGTCATCCAAGAAGATGAGAATATTTAGCCCTTTTTTTTTCCTTTCTGATTTCAGACTATGTAGTACATAAAGACGAGTGTTCTTTGAGTGTAAAAGAGAGGGAGTAAGGGGTGATACCTCCTGACCTTGAGAAGAGGGACTTTCTGCCAGTGTGTATGCATGCTAGGTGATTGCTACTGAAAACGCTTCATCCAGTGCTTTCAGAAAAAAGCTGATGAAGCCAGCCTTGAATTCATGAAACAAGAACAAAATTTTTCAGGCTGCCCCAGACACCTGCATTGTTGTCTTTTCTACTCCTCCAACAAATTAAGGAGGCTCCTTTGTCTAATACTAAAGGTGTTTACAAATGCTCACCTGTCATTCAGATTTTTTTTTGTTGTTGTTGTTGCTTCTGTCTTTCTCCTCATCTAGGGTGCTGTGTTAACTCCCTCCATGGACCACACTATGTCCCTACAGCCTACATCAATGATCAGCCCTCTGGCCCAACAGATGAGTCATCTTTCACTAGGCAATACTGGAACAGTAGGTGGAAACTTAATATAATGCTGTGTATAGGCTAATGAGGGCTGGGCCCACCAAGAGAATAACTCCCTGCAGTCTGTATTCCCCTGCCCACACCCCACTAGATTGTAAGCTCCTTGAGAGCAGGGATCCCATCCTAGCCCACCTTTGTATCTCCCACAGCACTTTGCACATAATAGGCACTCAATAAATATTTGTTGACTGAATGAATTGAAGTCAATCCTGGATATTTTTCCTTGACCAAAATATAGAGCCTGTGAATGAATACTTTCACCTTTGCAACCCTGTTGAGTAGGGAAGTAAAGGGGATACACTTTTTCTCCTTATCCAATCTCCTTATCAAAAAATTATGATGATGCCCAGAAAAGAAGGCTGGAAACTCCCCCTCACCTACTTAGTTTCTTCTTTTCAAGGAATAGGAGAATCTGAGGGAATAGGATTTTCAGTGGCATCTCATTTCGGGGCCTGGTCGGTTTTCTTAATCAGCAAGGATCCAGGACTTGGACAGGCACCAAACAGCTTCCTAAGAGGAGTAAGAAAGAAGGGAGAAGGCATAGTTTCATGGACATTCACTTTGATGGGCTTGACATTAGGCCAGAGTACAAGGGGAAGGTTAGATTGGAGGATACATTCCATGAAAAACGTCCTTAACTAGAAATAAGATGAAGACAATTTTCAAAGAATAGTGACTAAAGCCATCACAGACCTGGATGGGATGTAAAGTTAAAGGGAAAGGGCCCTGGATTTTTCCATTTCCAACTTGAGAGCCGATAAACAGCTTCTTCTGAAGCATGGGCCACACACCCCTCTCTGTCACTCCCAACAGGGACTGATGTTGATTAAAAAAAAAAAAGCATTCTTACTTTTGAGGAAACACAGCTTGATAAGGCCAAAGGTCAGAAACAGAGCTCAGATCCCTGTTCTTCACAAACCTTTGAGGGAACCAATAAGCCATTTATTTCCCATGTCCCTAAACAACTGAGGCACCAGTGTTTGCCATAGAACTATCTTATGGGCCTTCAAGAGGAAATTAGAGAGGTCCTTGGTTGGGGGAGGAATCTCTATCATTACATACTAGTGATACTGCATTGCTGAGGAAGTGAAACCTATAATGTGTTTCAAAAAGGTGGTTTCTGTGTAGAAATTACTACCAAGGACAGAATTTTAGATTTTGTTTAACAAAGTCTAAAACTAGGAAACATACACTTCACTTTTCTACATTACCTCTTATAACTTTTTGGAAGAGCAAAGACTTTGGGAACACTTCTCCTAAACAGGATACCGAATGCTTTATTTCAAATCTCAGATTGTCCCAGGTGCTCCAAATTTCACACTAGATTTCATACCCAAACTTTACTCTTTCTTCCTTTCAGTACATGCCTGCCACAACAGCTATGCAAGGAGCCTATATACCCCAGTATACACATGTTCAGACAGCAGCTGTTCCCGTTGAGGTGGGTAATCCCATTAAATGGCCATTGTTGTAATGGGTAGTTTTGGAAGTGGGTAAATTAATAATGATCAAAAGAAGATCGATCTCAAGTTAAAGACTCTGAAAGAGAATTTGATTTAGAAGAAATGTGCAGCTAGAGTAAAATTTTCATCTAAGAAATATATTACCCTGACTCATTGATTATTGATGGAGTGGCATACAGGCAGAACATCTATCTAAATTTCCCAGAAGCGATTTCAGGGATTGTAGCACTTCGCACATCTATTTAAGCCTATGTCTTTTCTTCTATAAAGCTATACTCTAGGCACACTGTCATATCTGGAGTTTAGAATTTCACCATTAAATATTTCCATGCTGCAGACAATCATTGTTAATTGACTTAGACTAAAATGACTCAAAGGAAAAATAAGTTGTCAGTTTTAAGATATGTAACAGAACAGAGAAAACTGGGCTGTAAAAAATTATAAAATGAATAAAGAACAAACCACATCTAAAGAGAGGGAGTACTTCTGTGGCTAAATAATTCTTGGTGTAGGAGAAAAATAAGAGCATACTTCACCAAGATGGAAACCCAAAAATCTTGGGCAATTTGAATAATTAAAAAAGATATCATCTAATCCAGACTTGCAAATTAAACTTAAAGCCCAAAGTCTGCCTTGATTCTCTTTCATATCCTTTTTGTCTTAAGTATCATAATAATATTAATAATACAAATTTCCATAACAATTTAACAACATATGTGGCACAAGAAAACAGGCATCAGTAACATTAGAACCCCTCTGCCATATTAGTCTTATCAATTGCCACAAAATTCACCCCACCAAATATGGTTAGATGACAGAAGCACTTACTGCCAAAGATGACTGGTGCTCTGATGCATCACACTTCCTTTATTCTGATTGGCTTAAACCTGTGGCTAGTTCAGATTTAATGAATAGGAAAGATGCTGTCTCTAACACTTAAGGATTTTTCCCCCCAAGGTGGCAGGAGTATTAAAGGGTAGATGGAGTATAAAAGCTAAAATTTTAAATCTGTTAGTATCTTAGTAGAGGACTGCCTGCTGCCTATGAGAGCAGAAAATGCATTCTTTCAGGGCAAATAATAATATACAGGACACATGAAAGTTACATCACTCATGAGCTAGTTCTTGCATCGGGTTAGTGCTTTTGACATTTGGACTCAAACAGTCAGGTCTAGTAGTGATAAGAGGATTTCATCTAATACATGTCTCATATCCAGTCTGCTTTGTTATAGGAGGCAAGTGGTCAGCAACAGGTTGCCGTAGAGACGTCCAGTGATCATTCTCCATATACCTATCAACAAAATAAGTAACTGTGAGGTATGTGGAAAAGTCTGCTATCACTCTAGGACCAATTTTTTTTTTGTAAATGCCTTATAACATCTTTCTCATAATAGAATTGGCCATAATTTACCTTTTTAAATGTTACCAAAAATTCAGAGGTTTTGGCATCACTGAGTTTTACAGATAAACAGATTCATGTATCTCTGTAATAAAAAAAGGGTCACTTGTTACATGTGTGATGTGGCCAGTGAAAGAATTTGATAGGCATGTACTAGATGTCTATATATTTTCCTCATGTCATAAGGAAAGACATGTTTTCCATTTTCACATCAAACTCATTTTAGTGTTGATATTTCCATGTTCATATTACATATTTGGAGGTTATCTGTCTTTGTATATATCCATGTTAAATCAAAGGCTAAGTAGGAGATCCTCAGTCTGCAAAGCAGATTCTAGCACACTTAAAATTAGGCTCAAGTGACTTCCATGCTACTTCATGGAATTTCTGATTTTTATCAGGGTTTGTCTCTTCTTCCACAGATGAAGATTACACATCCTCTTTTCCTTCTCATACTCTATACTTCTAGCCCTATCCTTCCATAAATACTCTTTGAGAAATCTGCCTCAATGTTGGAAGCCTTTCTCTGATTCTTTTACTATTTCATGCAAGCCAGTGGAGTACTCAGGTTGTCCATCTGTTTTCTCATTCATTTCACATGACTACATTGCCTCTTTTTATGCTCATACGTCTCGTTAATGACTCTCTTTGCCATTTCTCATGGGCAAGTCATCATGGATAATGCTGTAGTCTACTTGCACCTGTCATGCATCTCTTCATTGCCTTGTGGTTTGCTGGCAACTTGATTGATTTGATACAGTGATTCACACATACAGCTAATCTGGTATTATATCAGTATTAAAGAGATGGGATTCAATGGCGTTATTTAAAGCACTGCATTTTCCCAGATGTTATCATGCCCAATCAGTTGAGGCCAGCTCATTGTCCATCATCAGGACCTAACATATACAAAGTTATACACTAAGCTAGCTGTCTAGCATCACGGCATAACCTGGGCAAACTGGTTTTATGTCCACTTGGTTTTTCCAGTTTGGATAGGCAGACTAATCTTTTTTCCATTACTGCGGATTTCACTGAGAAGACTTTTTGTTGTTAAGGAATTTAATGTGTTTTGTACAGTGCAGTTCGGAACTTTTGGAGAGAACCTTGCCATCAAAAGGAAATCTTTACTTTGAACTCTATTCAAGACATCTTCTGACACTCGTGAATACCTCAGGGTATTGCATAAGTTTTAAGACCTTGTATAATTTTAGCTTGTACATGGGATAAACCTTGTTTGAGACAAGCCTTCAAAGCTGATTGTTTAAAAATCACTACAGAGTAGACAGTAGTATCTTATATTCTCTCTATCTCTCCAGTAGTTAAGTAACTATAAAGATGTGTTCCTCTGTAGAAAATTATCAAGAAAAGCCTACCTGTTGTTCTATTCCAATTCTTTCATCAATGATATCATTGATTTTTACTCTTACTTTACTTCTCTTTCCAGAAATAAGAAAATAAGTAGGCATTGCCTACTTTCTAGGTCGTGTGTGTGTGTGTGTGTGTATGTGTGTGTGTCTGTGTGTCTGTGTGCACAAAAATATCATCTCTGATTTTCTATTCTTTTGTAATCTTCCTTGCTTTGAAATATCTTGAAAACACAATCCCTCTTTTTAAATTGTTTTGTTCATCACAGATTTCTTCCATATATATTTGCTCAGGTCCAATCACTTTTGCTAACTTCATTTCTTTAGTGCCACTGCAACTTTCTCATTAGTATGTATCAAGAAGTACATCCAAATGTGTGCAGTTCTACTCTCATTATCAATTAAAATAGATCAGTATAAAAAGGCAACAGGTGTATTCCATTTGGAGTCTCTCATCCTACATGTTCTCAGAATGATTTAGGCAGCTAGGTGACACAGTGGATGGATAGAGTGCTAGACTTAAAGTTTGTTCCTGCCTCAGACATTACTAGCTATATGACCTTGGGCAAGTTGCTTAACCTCTATTTGCCTCAGTTTACTAATCTATAAAATGGAGATAATAATAGCATCTTCCTCGAAGAATTGTTATGAGGATCAAATGACGTATTTGTAAAGTGCTTTGCAACCCTCAAATCATTAAATAAATGCTAGTTATCATCATCATCATCATCACACTTAACTAAATTTCTTACTAAGGTCTCTGTTGGCTCTTTTTGTTCTCAGACATGTTTGTTTTTAGAGATTAATACCATCCATAGTCTTCCATCATCATCTTTCTTCATCACGTTTGCTCACAAATTTGTCTTCTAAACCATGTTGTCCTATCTCCCTTATCAACTAGAAGATTGAGTGTTTGCTGATAGAGGGTAAATTAGGATGCTCAGTAGTCTGTTTAGGAGCAGTTAAACTGCACTAAGAAATGATGACACAATCAATGTATTTATTTTATCTTACCTAACCAAAATCTACCTTCTCTCTCTTACCTGAATCAAAAAATAAAGAATAAGTGACAAATATAGTCAGGCAAAACATATTCCTGCATAGGCAATGCGTGCTCACTCTCTCTCTCTCTCTCTCTCTCTCTCTCTCACTCTCACTATAGATAGATATAGATATATATACACATATTTATATACACACAAAATAATTTTTATATCTTATGTCAGTATACAACACAATATACATACATATAAATCTGCACTCTGAATCAATTCCCTTTCTGATAGTATTGTCTATTGGTATACACTTTCTTCTATTTTGGTATTGGTTTTTACTTTCTCCCTCATCTACCAGGTTCTAACAAGCTAAAAAGGCCTCACCACTTTTAATTGTTCACTGACTATTGAGACAAAATCAGTTTTAGATTTTCTTTTTATGATCAGTGTTCACCACATTAAATTCTTCCCAACTTTCTTCTTGAAGGAAGCATTACATTATGAACCAGCATAAGGCTAGTGAGTTTTGTTTCCTGTTCCAGTGCCATATATTCCAATGTGGTCTTTGTTGTTATCCAGGGTGCTCAGATACTCCATTCACCTGATACCATATTATGTATCTTCTTAGTTCAGAGGATCTTGTTAGGTTCTTTAAAGAATCTTGCTCTCTCTTCAATGATGCTGGCACATGAACAGCAATATTTTTATGATCATTGGTCTGATTAAATCCATAATAAGCATTGTAAGATAAGATAACTAAGCATGCCTTGAAATGATATTTCATGTCACCTTTGAACCTACAATTAACCCAATTCTTTTAGAACCTTTAGAGAACCTTCAATTTAGCTACAACTTCTTTGTCTTCTACCTTTATTGATGATGTCATTATGGTTGTGTTTAGTCTCTCTGCTTGTTGGTCATTAGGGAAAGATCATAAACTGAGAGTACCATTAGTGAAATAAAACAACATGATATAGTAGAGAAATGGCCTCCAAGTCAATAAGACCTGGTTCAATCCCTGCCTCTTATTATATGAACCTGAGTAGATGATTTAACCTCTCAGTGCTCTAAGAAGAAACACCCTAAGATTATAAATTGAAAAGAAGGTGGCAACCTATATTATGGGAAGGAGTTTCCTCACCACTGATTAGTTCCCTATACCAGTGAAATCACAGGTATATTCCCTATCCCTATAGATGAGGGAAATTGTTTTTTAATGATAAAATAACAATTTCATTATTAGTACCTTCTTCCCATTTTTCCTCCAATCTGCACTAGTCACTATGGGTACAAAGGACTTAAGGTCATTTTTTATATTTGTCTATTTGATGAGTTACTGTCACCAAAAAATACTCATTCTCTGGTGGTAAATCATTTGGTGATGGACCATAACCTGATCTCTTAGAGCAGACATATAATCAGTCTTAATAAATAAGCATTTATTAGGCACTTACCTGTTGGCCTTGAACTCGAAGCCTTTTCAGTTTGATGGAACCTGCTAGGTTCTGCACTCTGGTCTTCAAAATCCCAGAGTCACCTGCTGAACACAATGAAACTTCAGATTACAGAGATACCTTTATTCCAAATAAAAGTGTTTCAGTCATTTCTACTGAAGAGCAGAAGTGAGGGAGTATGGTTGAATGAAAGTTTAATTTGAGCCCGTGTAGAATCTGTGTGCATCAGACTGTTTAGGTTACCATACATCTAAATCCCTCTCTTATCTTATTTCTGGGGGTAAAATATCACATTCATTACTACTCTGTCAATATTTTCTATTTCATATAACATATATACAACTCACATTTCACATATAACAGAAGAAATCACTGACATTGTATGGGTTTGTGGAGTTGACTGTCAGGGAACGTCACACATATTCTGTGCTACCATAGTGATCAGTACATCAAATCTATACTGATTTTTAAAATGTTGCATTGCAAACTTAACCACATCCTGACAACAAGTCACTATAAACAGCCTCAGATAAGACCTTGAAGGTTGTGTATTCCAAACTGAATGTAGCCAGGTAGCTTCTGATTATAGGATCATAGAGCTATATCTAAAATTGACAAAGTACATTTGGGGGCAAATAATTCTACCTGGCATTTTATTTTTCAACATAATAGATTATAATAAAATACAAGCTGTGTGGAGCACCTGACACCACCTCAGTTTTTGATTTGCACTGGCTTTTGTGTTTTCATTATGTTACACTTGATCTCTAAAGCCCTCCATGAGTGCTTCATGTTTGGTGAGAGGGAAAAAATGTTCTTAACCAGCCCAGGATTTTAAATAAGAGAAATCAGGCAACATGTTATCCAGTGATGGTATCCTTAACTCTGGAATTGGTTTTCCTCTGTCCAGTTGAGCCCCCATGCCTGAAATGCATGACTTTTCCCAAAATTGTGGGGGTTTTTTAATGAGAAACAGGCTAAACACTTGGTTTTATACTTTATCAAGTCTACAAAGCAATTCTCCTTTTTCTTTCTTTGACTTTTCTCTTCCAGATGTATAGAGGAGTGTCCTTACCTGAAGAAGGGTGTGAAGGCTGAAACAATCATGGATTTTTCTGATCAATTGTGCTTTAGAAATTATTGACAGTTTTGCACAGGTTCTTGAAAACGTTATTTATAATGAAATCAACTAAAACTATTTTTGCTATAAGTTCTATAAGGTGCATAAAAATCCTTAAATTCATCTAGTAGCTGTTCCCCTGAACAGGTTTATTTTAGTAAAAAAAAAAGTTTTTATCAAGTGTTATGACGCAAAAAAAAAAAGAAAAAAGAAAAAAAAAGAAAACAATTTTCTGGGAATGCACAAAGACCACGAAGACTCCTTCACGTGCATGACCAATTTTTTGTGTTTCGTTCATTTTTGTGTTTTATTTCTTTTTTTGTTTTTTTTTAATTGTATGAAATGGGTTTTCTGAAGTTTAAAGTAGTCAAACATCAAAACTGATGTTCTGTGCTTGCAGTGTGAATGTCGCTGTAGTGCCGTGTGTTGCAGTCACAGTGTTTGTTTTCTTAGCTCTCTGTTTTTCTTTGAACGTAGTTTGTGAAGTGTCTTATCTTTTTCTATCAATTCCAATTTGCCTTAAATCTTTCAATGCTGTAGCTGTTTCAGTAAAAGTTAGTCCAAACTAATGATGTAGAATGCTTTGACCAAATGAGCTGGTCTATTATGCCTTGTAAAACAGCAGCATAGGGCTTTTAAAAGGTAGTCAATAAAAGTTGCTGAAAATTTGGCTTTTTTTAAATGTGTAGTAGGTGTTTTTAATGATTTTTCACATAATGTGTAAGGTAGTGAAATGCAAGAGGGGGGAAAAATGTTTTGTGTGAAACACATTTTCTGACTAGGGAGATTTTAATAGGATAAATTGTTTGTAAGGCCATATGCCAACAGTTTCCTCTGGTAGTTTGACTGATTTAGAAAATCTGCTGTATGATGCAATGTAAATCTTTTTTGCCTTTTTTTCAGAAAAGAAAAAAAAACTAACTTGATGTTCTAGTTTTAGTGTAGGTAGCAGAGGGAGTGGTGGGGGCGGGGTGGGTGGGGAATCATGGAATGTTTTGTCCTTTCTTTCTACTAATGATAGTGCTTTAGAATGAGGGTGATGCCTGAGATCGAGCAAACGGAAAATGTTGCTGTTGCAGCGAAATGGCAAAAGCTAAAAGTAAAGGATTTATTTTCAAACATGAGCTGAGATGTGAGTAGGAGCATAAATGATTGGATACTAGCTCTCTATATTAGGTAAATTTTAAAAATGACTTGGCACTTTTAAAGGTAACTTTACCAAAGACCAAAGAGCCAGTAACCAATAACTCTGATTTGTCTCAGCATTACATCTTCTGTACTCTTTATTTTTGCCGGACCAGTTTGCGGTTAGGAGAATGTGCCTTTTTTGTACATTTACATTTAGGTTTTATAATTTTAATTGATGTATGGACACAAAAAGCATGAAGGAAGACTTGGATCCAAGCAGTGCCACACTTTACATCATCACTACAAGTGTTAAGTGTAAAGAAAACCAATTTTGAAACTATGAAATTCCTGATTCATAAATACACAGTTATTTTCTACTTTACACATTAGATAATTCACTGTTATTAAAGCTCTTTTTATTACAATTACATACATTTAAAAAAACAATGATAAATTAAGTTGTCTTCCAAAACTGTGTACTTGTCTGGTCAGCTGTGTATGATCAGTTATCTACCTCAAAGTTTATTTCCTTTTGTACTGGGACAGGTTGCTGGCTGGCCCTCCCTGTTTCCACAGACCAAATCTTCCTAGCTCAGGAGCTAGGACTAAGCAGTTATTTCTTTCAAGTATTTTTTAGTTTTTAAATTTTATGCGTGTATTTGAGTATAGATGTCGGTGACATTTCATAGTTTCAAAAGTAATTGCTGCTCTGAGAAGTATAGATTCTAGTGAATTACATAGTCATAAGAGAAATGTGTTTTTGTTTTTGTTTTTGGGTTTTGTTTTAATTTTGGTTTTTTTTGGTTTTTTGGGGTTTTTTTAAGTTGTGGTATTATTGGTTCTATGCTCCCTGGAATATTACTGCTTTGTAAAAGTCCAGACTTCCTGCAGCACCTTCCTTCCTTCCCTGTATCCGGTATATTTGCAAACCTGGATCTCTCACTACTTGATACTTTTGCATTAGTTAAGACAGAAAAACATTAGATAGCTCTGTTGGAGGAAGGAAAGATCTGCTGCTAGAAGTGTCTGAACTAAGTGCCATACTCGTCTGGGTAAGATTTGGGAAACATAACCTCTGTACATAAAGAAATAATCAGTTAAACATCACATAGTAGACAGCCATTAAATTATAAAAAAAAATTAATTTATGAAGAAAGACCTTTTGTACAGATTGAAAAAAAGATTTTCATAGAGATATCTATATGATCAAGAGAGTTAATTTTTTATTTTTGTTTTACTAGTGCCACAAACTTGCCAGTGGTAACTTATTTGTCCGGTTCAAGATAACTCTGTAGTTTTGTTTCCTAGGACTTGTTATTAAACGCCAAAAGACATTTTTGAACTGTAAATTTGATTAGATTGTCAGCTTTTTCTGTTTAATTTCTTTTGAAAAACTTTTGAATAAAAAAGATCTGAAAATGTTTGTCTTTTTTTTTCTCTCCCGTGTTTTGAAACAGGTAATTAAATATACCTCTATTTCATTTCCCTTAAGATCTCTTGAAGAAAAATATTGGTTTCAGAATGATTTGAATTTTATAGGGCTTGATTTAAACATAAAAACATTTTCTTTAATAAATTAATCATATTAATTGGCAAGTAATTTCACAGGGAGGAAAAAGAAATTCCAGTTTCATAATTAAGGCAGAGTGAATCCATGTCACCAAAATAGCTCACCAATGCAAGGAAAACATCAGTCAGCCATAGCCTAAGGTGGGTCTGAGTCATGATGGCAGATATACCAGATTGTGTATGAGCTATATTAGGGGAGGAAACTGGAAATGCTGTGACTTCCTTCTCGCTGTCTGAGCCCTTAGTTGTCTATTGTAAATTAGCCCACTCACCCTTTCTATGGTAAACTGGGTAACTGATGTCTCCTATTAATCATCATATGGCCAGCTATCAGTTATTGAGGGGCAAAAACCCAAGCCCTTCATTTTTTCTTATTGCCTTTCAGCAATTTTACTTCTTGTTTATGCCTTTACTCTGCAGTCATGCAGTCCTAGGCACTACAATTAGCTAAAGTCTCATAGGTAACAAAGAAATTAGGTTATCTGAAGATCAGCATTATCTATTCTGCCCCACCTCCCCCCTACTTATTCATGGAATTTGGACAAAAAAACATAGCCTTAACGTCTATATTTAATTCATTTCTTATTAAAAGGAATTATTAACTCTTACATATTTTCAGAGGACAACTTCTAGAACTTTCCCCCATATTTTGGTTAGGAATTGGTATGCTAAGGTGCTTCAGAAAGGAAGTAACAGTATGGGGGATTAGGGGATGAAATAAATAAACAATGAGTTTTTCTCTAAGTAGATGAGATATTTCAGCACAGTTGCCTGGTATTAATTTTCAACCTCCCAAGAGTTGTTATTTAGATGACTACATTTGGGTTTTAAAAAAAAGGAAGAAACAAGCATTTATTAATCACTTAACTGTGTGCTAGGCACTGCATGAGGGAACAAGGAAGAGAGGAATGTGACAAAGGCGAGAAATACAGTTGAGCTGGTAGAGGTGGAAGAACTTTAAATTGTAATATTCCCTTTAATGAGAATTGTGTGTGGAAACTCTGGTAAGTTCATTAACTGAGGCTCAAAGTATTTCTTTGCTGTAGCCAAAAGCCTAGTGAAAAATGGCCTTCAGAATAAGATAGGGGATGGAATGCTGCTGTTTGTCCTTGGTTCTCGAAGAGGACCATGACATCAGGAAGGTGATGCCATGACTTGCAAGTGAATTGGATTTAAGCGAGGGAGGGCTGTGCATAGTCACCAGCCACACTTTCTCCTCCAGAGCCATCTGGGTCCAGTGGCAAGATATATATCAGGACAACTGGAGGTAGACCAAAGATAGGGGACACCATTCTCTGAAGAACTTAATTTTATACTGGTGCAAGATGGGTGAATGATCTTAACCACTTGGGAGCAAATGATGATAGACTGCTTAGACTAACTGGCTATATACCTGGAGAATCACTAGCCCACTGTACTTAAAATAATTTATGGACCCATGTACTTTACTATTTAGGTTTCCTACTTCTATAAAGCTACAATTAAACAATCCATGTACCTACTATGTTTAGTGCAGGTCTCAAAACACACAAGTTTGATGTCATTTAAAATCTGCATACAGGCTGCAAAATTTCTCCACCATTGGCTGCTTAAATTCCAAAACCCTTTGCACATACTGCAAGGGAGAACATTGAAAATACCACCCATTAGTATTTTCTTAAATAACAGAAAGTCATTTTATTAGCCAACAGTGATTTGCTGCCCTTATTTATAATTAACCCAATATTTAGTGGGAAAAATCTTCCATAATTGCAAACATTGAAAAAAACAGATGGCCTGAGATTGATTCTGGAATTGTTACTTGCTAAATTGATCGAGTGTGAGATACTGGTACTATGATTTATTTATAAATTCTCTAAATGAGCAGTAGCATGGAATAATGGAAGGAACACTGCACCTGCACCCAGAATGCCAGGACACAGGTGACAATTGTTTGGTTTCCTCTCAATGCCTACTCTGTACTTATGTTTATATAATCCTTTATTGTTTACAAAGCCATTTCCTCACAGTGCTATCATGTAGGTAGTGGAAGTGAAATTTCCATTTTACATATTTTTTAAAAAATACCAAGATTTAAGTGACCATTCCAGGATCACTCAGACACTGTCAGAACTGACATTCAAATCTAAGTCATCAGTCTTTAAACCGGTGATTTTTCTACTATATCTCATAGCCTTTATAACAAGAAAACATAGCTAGAAAGTTAAACACAATGTTCTTAATTGAGAAACATAAAACAAAAATAAGCAATAAAAAGTATCGGAGAACATAAACAGCTGGAAAGGAGTGAAGATGAGAAAGGACCTGTTGGTGCATGTATACTGAGGGGGGAAAATTAGACTCAGGTTACACAAAATGTGTATAATTAAGGCCTGACCCTTGCCACTATCCAATCAAATACTACCTACATGAAACACTTTTAACTTGGTCTTACAATGCAAAGATCACAGCATCTGGAATCAAAGGAGCTGGGTTCAAATTCTGACTGCCGTTTAACATCTGTGTTACTTTAGCAAGACATAGAACCTTTCTGGGCCTCAGTTTTGTCATCTGTAAAGTGAGAGAGGTGGGTTGAACGACCTTGCCAGCTTAAATCAATGATCATATGAATGTCATAGCTTCCTAATGAATTTATGTAATGACGTATTACAGTTATTTGGGTTTGTCTTATCTTTTTACTAGACTCTAAACTCCAAGAATGCAGGATAACAATGTGTTATCTATTTTTTCCCCCTGTACCTAAGTGGGACAGTGGATGGAGTGTTATACCAGGAGTCAGGGAGACCTGAGTTCAAATTCTTCCTCAGACACTAGCTGAGTGACCCTGGGCAAGTCAAAACCTCTCTGTGTCTTAGTTTCCTCATCTATTAAATAAGGGGACTGAATTCAGTGGCCTCTAAGGTCACTTCCAGATCTAAACCTTGGACGCAATAATCATATGATTCAGTACACAGTTATAGACAGGAGATGGTTAATAATTGTTGAATTGAATACTGACCCTGCCAATCAACTGTTTCCTTACTGCCAGAAAGATAGTACCCATTTTATTCTCAGAGGCAGTGTGCAGGAATGGATAGTGTAGTTGATTTGGAGTCAGATCTGAGTTTAAATCCTCTCTCCCATGCTTCCAAGCTATGTGACCCTGGGCAAGGAACTTAACCTTTATGTACCACTGGCAGTTCCCAAGGACTTTGGACAAGGACAAGGAAGGTGCCATGAT